AAGGCACAGACCCAGCGTCTTTTATTCCTGGACTTGAATCATGGCTCTGCCAGGTTGGCTAATTTGCTCTCCTAGGATGAGTGTCCCTTACTAGTCATCTCAGAGAACTTCAGCCTCAGTTTCCCCACCTGCAAAGTGGGAATCCCAGCAATTCCCTGCAAACTTGTGGGGATGACATAAATTATTGTAGGGGCGCCTGGGTGGCTTAGTTGGTTAAGCATCCAGCTTGATTTTGGCTCAGGTGCTGGTCTCAGGGTTTTGGGATCAAGCCCCACATTAGGCTCTGCACTCACTGGGGCATCTCCTTGTCTCCCTTGCCCCCACTCCTCCCCCTGCTCATGCTTTCTCTCTCTCTCTCTCTCTCATAAATGAATTAAATTTAATTTTAAAAAATTATATAATAATTTTACTTAGGTGAACATGAAAGTGGCGATACGGGGTCTGGTGAGCAGCAGACATGGCCCCTCCCCACTGCCTCCCTCTCCATCACTCATTTCGTTGCTACTATTTGCTCCCCCAGAACCCTGGATTGTCCCCTTGTAGTCCTTTGCATATCCGTATAATGAATGACTGATTTGTTGTATCGATGCACTTGATGTTTCTCTTGGGGCAATTGCAGGCAATGGGCTTCCTGTGATATGTCCATCTCTGTCTCCCTGTGCTTAGCACAGAACCTGGACAGGAGGAACTCGGGGAACATTTGCAGACTGACCATCTGAACACAGACTAGGCACTTCCACTGCTAGACCATTTGCTGAGGGAATGCAGGCTCTGTTTTCTTTCTTACTGCTTTGAATCTCCGGAGCCTTCAATATAGTAGGTGTTCTGTAAGTGGCCCTGCAGAAAAGAGTCTTCGGCTGAACATTTTGCCATTGAGGAGTGACTGACCACAGGAAGATTCTTCTGGGTGATGCTAGAAACTGAAGAGGGGCCCCCTTCTGTAGAATGGCTTGCGGGGAGATGTGTGGTTTGGAGGCAGAGGGGTAGACCAAACAAATCCCGCAGTGTTGCTTCTAGTCCTGGAGTTTATGGTCTACGGAAGCCGGAAGCACTTTGTTCCAGAACCCATGAGTCAGCCCCAGAGAGACCACACCCGTGGGGCCAAAGGGAGGAGGTGGAATCTTTTTCTCTCGGAAAGCTGGGCTAGCAGGCTGATTGGCTAGGGTTAATTCCCATGAGCATTGCTGAAGTTGGGACAAACTCAATTTTAAGTTAAGTGGAAATATTTTTATTTGAGTTAATGTACATTGGATCTGGTAAACACATAGAGTATATTACTATGCACTCTGGAAATGTGCAGTCCGATCAGCAAACAGATTAGTTTTAAGTGAAAAGACACTGGCAGGCGCTTAAATTCATTGACTTGTTGAGAACGTCTAGATTTGGATACAAATGCACTGGAACGCTACATCAGTTTGGTGTCTCAGCCCATCCGCACGGAGAAACTATTGATTTTAGTTGATATGCATTGATTCCCAGAAAACAGGACGGCTTTTGAAAATGAACTTCCAGTAATTTCAGGGAGAAGCTGGCGCGTTTGTCTCCACGCGAGGCTGACTTGTTTTGTTAAACGTGTCTCTATGCCTCGAAGGAACGGAGCAGCAGACAAATATCTTCGTATGAATTAAAATGCATTGATTCTTGGAGGGAAATGATGGTCTCTGTTAAAAGCTTTTTTGGAGATGTTAGCACCCCTTCCTCCCTGCCTTCTGCTCTCCCCAAAACGGTGGCAGTTTTCAGAGCCCATCTGAAGTTGGAGGTGGTGGCGGGTGGGCAGGGTGGGGAAAGGAGGAGGGACGCCCAGCACTGCCAATCCCCTGAAGCCTGCAAGCAGGAAGCTGCTCTCCAGGGAAAGAACAGCACTTGGGTTCAATATTGTCCATCTCCTAACCAGACGAAGGCAGGTGCCCTGGTAGGAGCTGAGGGGAGGGGACACAGAGCTTCCATCGATAAGGAAAATAGTAATGAAGAGGAGAGGTCCGAGGGTCAGGGGTGGGATGCAGAGTTGAGGGTGCATGTGCAGTTTTGGTCTCATGGTCAGTGGCCTCTCTGTGTGGAAACAGGAAATGAGTGGGTGATAATCAACAAAAGGATGCAGGAGTGAGTTATCTTACCTTCTTACCTTCTGAACGAGCTGGACATGAACCAGAGGTATAATTTAGGCATTTCTCACCCTCATTAATGAATAGCTCCCTTGGGGTGACTAGACAGCAGGGCTAGAAAAATGATTCCAAGAGCCAGGAAGGAAGCAGTTGGCCCGGAACTTATTTTTCATGTGCTGAGACTCCCTGGATCTTCCTGGATCAGAGCCACTTGGGGCAAGTTTGAGGGTTGATCATGGACTTAACTCCTCTGTAGCCATCCCTAGCTCCTGCTCAGCCCCCCTGACCACCTCCTGACTGGGGGATTAAATCCACCTGGGGGGTATTGGTTGGCCATTGGTGGGCTAGAAAGTGCTGACCCGTTATCCAGGTAACACGGCCTATGGAAGCTAGACCTTCTCCAAGACAGAAGGGAAGACTGCCGAGAAAGACCTTGGAGGGATGGTCAACTGCAAAGCCACCTCTTTTCACCTCTGGCTGTAGTTGTTACAAATCAAGGGTCTTAGGTCTGCATCTACTAACCCCCAGACAGTAAATTCTCCCCCTGCCCCGCCCTTCACTTTCTCCTACTCCTCTTCATTCTCTTCCAGTTGTCGCTACTCTGCTTTGCACTGAAAGGGATTTTATGAATCCGTCCGTCCAACCCCCATCTGGTACTGAAATAATCCTCTGCCTCTGAAATAATCTTTGCCAAATACAGTATTGGTTTAAAACCTCTGACCGTGGACTGCACATCACCTCCCATGTGTCTTTTTCAAATAGCTCCCGCCAATGCCAAGTTCCCCCTGCCCCTAACCCACCAACACCAAGAGCAAGAGCAAGAGCAAGACCAACACCAACACCAACACCAACACCAACACCAAACCTAACTGAGCCTGCCTCAGCCTGGTGGTTCTGGTTCTGTCCTCTGGGGTAGCACCTGGGTGGTCTTGTTCTTCTCCCACGTGGATGTTTATAGACATTTGTTACTCTGTCCCCACCGAGGCTTCCTTTCTCCAGGCAAAACTCCCCAGGTTCCTCAGCTGTTTCTAATATGGCATGGTTTCAGGTCCCTCCACTGTTTGTAGGACCAGCTACCTTCTTTGTGTAAGCCCCAAGTGCAAAATGAGAATGCAGGGCCCTGTGTTTGAAAATTATTAGAAATTTCAAGATGACCTTGGGACCCTTCTGAGTGATTGTATAGGTTAAACACCCATAAGGCAGCCCTGACCATAGGGGACCTCTTTTTCCAGATCTCGGTCTGCAATGTCTTTCTAAGTGATGTTCTAGGATTGGCCTGTCCAGAAGTGGAGTGACAGGCACTTTTTTTCTGGATATATCCATTAGTGTTAGCGAAGCAATTGACAATCACATTAACTTTACCGGCAGTCAGAGCATACAGGTGAGTCATGCTCAGCATAACGTCTGCTCTGAAGTCGGAGGTTCGATTCATAGCTGAGGAGCCGAGCCACGCCTCTCACTTAGGGACAGTTGCAAGAATCCATGGTGGACTTTGCTTTGCCCATAGACTCTATCCCAGGGCTTAACACGTTATTATCTTTAGACCATTTTTCACTCATTCAATCCATAAAGAGACATTTACCAAGTGCCCACTGTGTGCTAAGACAGTGATAGGAGTTGGGATATACTCTTGGATAAAACCTGACCTTGACCTTAAAGAGCTTCAGTGTAGAAAAGATATTTAAACAATCATTACATGAGAATGTCCTAATCCCTACAGATAGGGATGTACTACGGGAGCAGAAAAGATGGGAAGTCCTGGCATGCATTTGGGAAGCCAAGAAGAAGCATTTGAGATGGCTCTTAAAGGATGAGCAGAGGTTTGGTGCGTGGGAACGGGAGGTGTGAAAGCCCGTCTAACCATGGCCTGCTTTCCTCCCCAGAAACTCCCACCTCTTTGCTATTGGCCGTTCTTCTAGGGCAGCACCATGGATCTCGGCCCTGGTGGTTCCTCACAGAAATCCACAGTCTGTTCCATCTCTGGGGCCTTTCCAGCAGACCCCAGGCCTTGATGAGAAGACATTGCTGAAGTTTTTGCTGCAGTTTTAATTTCTTGACATCATCTGGGTGCGTTGGAAAAAATGAGATCTAATAATGAATGATTACAACTCTCAAGTTAAGTCTAGTTGGTTGACTAATCAATTTGGTTAAGTGAAAATCCATAGCAAATGAGTCGACCGCAGTATGACATTTCTCCATCCAATTTAAATTAAAATCACCAACCATAATAATTTCACAATTACTCAGGGAGGGCACACTGGAGACTTGACCCCCGGAGCAGAGAAATTGCAAATGCCGCAGAGGGTGGGCTAAGAGTGGGGTGATGAGGAAGTCACTTGAGCTGAACTCTGCTTGAACTGCTCAGCCTCATCAGCTTGTGGGGGCGGTGGGGCCGCAAAGGATGCGGAGCAGCTGTTTTATATTCTTGGGTGCAGCCCTGCATCTCTTCCCCTGGGGAGGCAGGAGTTTCCAGCGTCCTGGCTAGAAAGCCCACAGGGAGTTCCTCCAACAGGAGAGCAGGTTTTCTCTTCTCTAGGTAACAGGATGAGGAAAGAGGCGGATGTTATCTTTGCATGTTAAATCCCCAAATTTAGACTATAAATTCCTGGACAGTGGATGCCATGTCTGTTTATCTTGAGTGGAGAGTGCTAAGTGGGTGTAACAGGCAATTAATAGGTTTTTGATAATGAGGGCGAGGATGACAGAGCAAAGGAAAGGATTAGATTTTATCTAATATGATAAACGTTTACTTGCCGAAAGTCCCCTTTATACCAGGCACGGTGTTAGGTACCAGGGAGTGAGAGATGGCTCAAATGTACAGCACTGCCTTCCAGGAGCTCCTAGCCTCTCGTGTAGCCTGAGAGATAAACATTTAATATGAATACGAGGCCAAAAGTCATTAATGTTTAGTAAGGAACTTGAAAGATAAGAATGTTTTGGATCAGGGAATTTCATGCAAACATTTTGTCTGCTGGTTCCCCCGTCTATAAAGGGCATTTATTTAGTAAGAGTACTAGCTCACAGAGTGGTCAAATGAAGGAGGTGCCTGGTACTGCTGGTGGTTCCTCAGCCATTTTCTCTCTTTCTTAAGCAATAAAGCTCCCCAATGTCAGCTGAACACGTGGTGCCTGGATTCAAGACTACATTTCCCAGGATCCCTTGTGTTTGTGGTCACATGGCCAAGGTCAGGCCAATGGAATGCAAATTCATGCAGCTTCTAGGAAGTGTCTTAAAGGGAAGGATCAGGGTCTCATCTTCCCCCTGCTTCCTGCTTCCTTCCTTCTGGCTGGAATTCAGGTGGAGTGACTGGAGCTGGAACAGTAGTCATCTTGGAGTAGAAAGTGACTTTGGAAGTGGAGGCCATACAGGCAGAGCAGCAAGATAGAAGGAGCCTGGGTTCTGAACGCTGTGATGGGCACACTAGCCCTCAGTTCTGAACTGAAACATCTTACTTAAGCCACTTTTATTTTGGGGTAACTGTCACTCCGGGCTGAGCCCAGTTCTAATTAATTCAAGTGAACTGTTGCACAAAAGGGACTTAGAATAGTGCTTAGTGTACAATAAAGGCTCAATGACTGGTGGCTCCTATTGGTATATTTGGTTCTTACTCTAAGGGAGACAGAAGACTAAGACTGCCCACTGAGCTACAGGGCACCTGCCTTATTTCTCCATGGGGACTCTTGGCTGAGACGCTCACCCTTTTGTGTCACGGTCAAGGCTCAGCTCTGCAGCCCCTCCTCCTCCCATGGTCCACTCTTCTTATACTCTCAGCTTACCACCCCCACTCCCTGACTTAAATCCCGCTGTCACCAGCTCAGCCATTACTTACAGAGAGAAGCAGCAGCGGCCCAGGAGAAGTATGGGCAGAGAGTCAGGTCCTGTGGATCAATTTGTAATTTTTCTTGTGGCGGCAAGAAGAGCACGAGTGATGTGTGCACTAAATCCCCAGCATGGCAGCAGCATGGCAGCCTGTCTGGGCTTGAATTATTTATCTTTGTGTGGGACTGGGGCTTAGAAGGAGGGGGAACACCGGGTGGATGTAAGTGCTCTCCAGCGTGGACCGTCATGGGGAGTGGGGGCAGTGGCAAGCTGGCAGTGATGATGGTCCTGGGCACCTTGCTGTAAGAGATGACAGAGCAGTGGTCTGTATGGGTGGGCCGAGGTGCTTTCAGTTTCTGGGCAGATAAGGGTTGGAAAGTCACCCCTTTGCATTGCTGGGAACCACAGTAGAGAAATGGTGAAGTTATTAGCTCAGGAGGAACAGTTGGCTCTTTGCCTGTTGTTGGGTGCATACACTGAGAAAGCACAAGTACATATTCCATTACCTAGAGGGGAAGGAGAAGGGAATGTGGAGGCTCTCCTGGCTGCAGGGGGAGGTGTTATGGTTATTAGGAGTGTCACTTACCTGAAGGGAGGAGTTTGATAGACATTACTAGTGCTCACCAATATTTCCAAATATCTTCCCTTTCTTATTCACGTGGAAGAATTAATCAGTATTGTGGGGCTAGTTCTGGCTAATGGAGTGTAGCCAGAAGAGATGTGTGAGTGTTTAAGAGTTGGCAAAGAGCTGGCATGCATTTTTCTCCATGTTTTGTCTCTCTCTCTCTCTTTAGAAAATCCTGAGAAATTTTTAGAAAATCTTGGTGATGTCACAATCTCTTGGAACTTACAGCAGCCTGGGTCCCTGAATGACGGTGTGGAACAGAGCCCCAGGCCCAACAGCACTGGGTATGGAGATGAGTAAGAATTAAATGGCTTGTCTTAAGTGATTGAAATTTTGGAATTCATGGTAATTGCAACACAGTCTAATTGATCCTGTTGAGTGTTGCCAAAATCAAAGGGGTGGGTGGGTCCTTTCATTTCTGGTACGAGGTCAAGGTTAGCAAACCAGGAATTGGAACCTGGGTGGATCACTAGATCTTTGTGCATACAGTTCGGGCTGAGAAAAGGCCAATTATGAATGCTCATACATAGAACTAGGGATGGGTGAGGGGGCGCCAGGGTGGCTCAGTAGGCTGGGCATCTGCTTTCAGCTCAGGTCATGATCCCAGGGTCCTGGGATGGAGCTTAGCAGGGAATCGCCTGTGCCCTCTCCATCTTCCCCCCCTACTCTCTCTCAAATAAATACATAAATAAAATCTTAAAAAAAAATAGTGGCAGGGTCAGTTGATGAGACCTGACAATGTAGCTGGGATAGACGTCATTGCCACTTCTGACATTCTGCTGCAATACAGGTCACAGGGGGCAGATCCCAAACCAGATCAATTCCAGAACCTTCCCCAGTCCTTATGGACTGAATTGTGTCTCCTTTCCTCAAATTCATATGTTACAGTCCTAACCCCCAGTATGACTATTTGGAGATAGGACCTTGAGGGAATTAGTAAGTGTTACATGACATCAAAAGGGAAGAGAGACCGGAGATCTCTCTGTCTCTAAGTGCATGCAGAGAAAAGCTGTATGAGGACGCAGCAAGAAGGTGACCATGTGCAAGCCAGGAAGAGAGCTCTTTCCTGAAACCAACCCTGATGGCCCCTTGATCTTGGACTTCTGGCCTCTGGAATGGTAAGAAAAGAGATTTCTGTTTCTTAAGCCATGCAGGCCCTGTTGTTTTGTTATGGCAGCCTGAGCTGACTATTATAGATCTTGACCTAGGACTTGTTCCCCAATACTCTCTTCTCCACTCACCCCCTGGCTTTCCTGGGACCAACTTTGTATATAGCGTCAGATATTTTGAGATGGAGAGGAAAGCGATGAGAGGGGAACAATGCAGATATGAACGCCTCCTTGTGCTTCTAACAACATGCTTTTCTTTCCCATGTATTACACTAGACATCAAGTTCGGCTCTGTAAAATAGGGATAATTATCCTAGGTTTACTGATTTTATTCATTTGCTCAGCAATATTCTTGGAGTACCTACTATGTGCTGGAGCACGATGCTGAGCTTTGGGGTGCAGAGTTGAAGAGGCAACAGCGCCTGTTCTCAAGTGACTGAGTGAATTGAGGACCCTAGGATAAGCTGCTAGTTCAGCAAGAAGAGGCTAGTAAAGGACTCAATCCTGGATTTTAGCTTTGTGCCTGGGCTCGTGGTAGAGAGAAGCAAAGTGGAGAAGTCTCTGTAACGGACGCTGGTCCGCCAGCTGGAGTCTGCTAAAACCCGAGAGGAAAGGGGACATGGGAGTCCACGATAGGCCCTGTTTTCTGCCCAGCTCAGAGCCACCTGAATCAGAACTGCCAGGATCCCCGGGAAATGCGGATGCGGCTTCCACCCAAGACCTAACAAATCACCTCGGCTTTGTGTCCTCCGCACCTCACGGTCCCTTGTCACATTCGCACTGATGCTAGAAGGCGAGTGTTTCTGGTGACCGCGTTTTACAGAACAGGAAACTGAGGCGATTTTTACAGAACACGAAACTGAGATATCAGCGAGGCGCGATACCTTGACCGAGGTCACACAGCTGGTAAGCGACGGAGCTGGGACCCACGCTCAGGTTTGTCTGATGTCATTCTTTGTCCTGGCTTGGCCTGCGAGCGAGGCCTTGGGTTAGCGGGTAGCTTACTTCTCTAGCTTGCTCACCTGTCCCAGTCCCTTGTTCCAGCGGCCCCAGCGGTCCCAGACTCCCGTGCCTCTGCAGAGACACTTTTCCTGGAGGGTTCCTTCTGTGCAATCACACTAATGGGCGCCTCCAGCATCAGCCACACGACTCCCTTGACTTCTAGATCTCTCAGGACTTGGGCCCTCCTTCTGCTCCCCTCCTCCCCGCCCATGCCAAACAAAATAAAACCTAACAAACAAAATCTCTTTTCATTATACTTATAGGTCTTGATATCCATTTATTTTCACTCACTAGTCATCAAACATGATTGTGCACTTATTATGTGCAGATATTGTTAAGTGCTAGAGACATCAAGAGTGCACCTAAATGGATATGGTGCCAGCCCACACAGAGTTATGGTCAAGTGCACTTCGCACATTGAATCCCATTCTCCTCCTCTCTCTGTATGTATCAGCTCCTCAGTGCCGTGCTGCGGGTGATAGAAGTCAGGTTTTAGAGTGGGCAGGACAATGCCTAGCATTAGCAGGTGCTACGTGGAATAAATAAATTAATGAAATGGGGCAAAGGGTCACGAAGGGCAAGGTGAGTACAAGAGGCACATTTCAAGGAGGTCAGGCGGCCTGCCTTCTGTTGCTGCATCCTCAGAAGATGCTAAATTGTCTAATAAATGGTTTCCCAGCCCCGGGCCCTGGAGAGGGCAGCTGACGTGCCCGAAGGCCTGAGGCAGGCCCCCAGCCCAAGCCCATGGTGCGAGGATGCATTATGAATGCAAGGTGTAGGAAATAGAAACTATTAAACTCGCAGATCGGGACAGAAATGCCTTTGTGCGGCTGCAGAGTTGGGAAATGGTGCTAAAGCCATGCATTGCAAATCAGCCTGTGCTTGGCAGAGAGGGGCTTTTATTCTCCGGCCCCCGACGTTCCTTCAGCAGCTTTTGTGCGCAGCCCGGGAGGCCCTTCTGGGAGGAGAGAGAAACCGGTAATTTCGCGGCTGATTGGCAGACTGTCCAGAGCCAATAACGATACTTGTTTTCTTGCTGAAGTGCTCAAAACGGAGATCTTGGCTCCTCTGTTTTATCCTTCTTTCTCTTCTGGTGATCCTCCCACTTCTTTTCCATGACGGAAAGAAATGGAACCGGGACTGCCTTCCTGATTCACATGGCTTCGTGTGGACGCCACGGGGATCGGGCTCCCATCAGGGCAATGTGTGAAGACAGAGGCCGTTCCAGGAACCCCATTTGCTTCGGCAAAATCTACATAGATTTTCTGTGTTGCTTTGGTATGTTTGGTGAGCTCAGTGTTTACACCTCCATGAATCCATCCTGTGTCCTTGAAATGTACTATATTGTTTGTCCCAATGGAAGGATGAAGATAGGTGACTTGTCCAAGGTCACAGGGTTGTAAATCATGGTTCTGCGATTTGAAGTTAGATTTCACAGTCTGTGGTGTTGGGTTTCTTGAGTGTCCCCGGTGATGCTTTGGTATTCACGACACCCCTGTTGATTAAAGATGCCCTCTCTGGTGACTGGGGACTCTTTTTCTGGGTTCTCTAACTGGTCAATTTTAAGTCACAGAGCCATCTTGAAATCCTAACAGAAGTGTCTGGCTTGGAAATGGAATGGACTTTTTTAAAAAAAGTTTTTATTTAAATTTCAGTTAGTTGACATACAGTATAATATTAATTTCAGGTGTACAATTTCGTGATTCAACACTTCCATACAAGACCTGGTGCTCATCACAAGGGCCCTCCTTCCTCCCCATCCCCTGTTCCCCCCTCCCCGTACCTCCCCTCTGGTGACCATACGTTTGTTCTCTAAAGTTAGGAGTCTGTTTCTTGGTTTGCCTCTCTCTCTCTCTTTCCCTTTGCTCATTTGTTTTGTTTCTTAAATTCCACATATGAGTGGAATCATATGGTATTTCTCTGACTGATTTATTTACATTATTATTGCTTTCATTTATTATTGCTTAATATTATTCATTATTATTGCTAATCATACTACTGTCCCACTCCATCCATGTCATTGTAAATGGCAAGATTTCATTCTTTTTATGGCTCAGTAATATTCCATTGTGTGTGTGTGTGTGTGTGTGTGTGTGTGTGTGCACCACATTTTCTTTATCCATTCATCAATCAGTGGACATTCGGGCTGTTTCCATGAGTTGGTTACTGTAGATAATTTTGCTGTAGACATCGAGGGCATGTATTCCTTTGAATGAGTGTTTTTGTATCCTTTGGTGTAAATACCTAGTAGTGTAATTGCCAGGTGGTAGGGTAGCTCTATTTTTAACTTTTTATGGAAGCTCCACACTGTTTCTCAGAGTGGCTGCACCAGCTTGCATTCTCACCAGCAGTGCCCGAGGACTCCCCTCTCTCCACATCCTCACTGACACCTGTTGTTTCCTGTGTTGTTGATTTTAACCATTCTGACAGGTAGGAGGTGGTATCTCTTTGTGGTTTTGATTTGTACAAAACTGAATGGACCTTTGAAACTATGTAGTTTACTACCTTTCCCTTCTGCACCCATTTTACAGATCATGAAGCTTAGGCCCAGAGACTTAGGGATGGACCCAAGGCCATAGCCAACTCTAATGGCAGGCTGAGGCCAAGAACCGGTACCTTTGCTCCCTATTCAGCATTCTGTCCACTTCATCTGCAGCCTCGATCAGGACTAGGTTTGGTTGTGAGTAACAGATACCCTCCAAAACAATGGCTTCACTCCCTGATGTAAAATAAATCAGGAACAAGCAAATCAGCTTTAAAAGATGTCAGAAGAAGGTATGGCTCCATAGTGTTAGGAACCAAGACTCTCTGTCTTGCCACTTTTCCGTGTGTGGCTTCCTTCCCAAGGTCACCTCATGGTCTTAGATGGCTCCTAGAGCTCCAGCCATCACATCCAGCAGCTGCAAGGAGGAGGCCCTTCCCTTTAGAAGATTTTCTGGAAGTTTCACACAACACTTCTGTTTCACTGGCCAGAATTTAACCTGTGGCCACGCTAGTTAAATGGGAGGCTGGAAGATGTCATGTTTTAGCTGGCTGCCTAGTTAGAAGTCAGGACTT